TTTAATATAGTTTTTATATTTATTATATTTTTAATTTAAAGATCTTTTATAATTTTTATATATATTATAATATTTAATTAAATCTTTTTAATTTTTTTTACTTTATTTATAAAAGATCTTTTCTATAAGTTTTACTTAATTTTTAAAAATAGCTTTTTTTTATAAGATCTACTAATTTTATCTTTTTTATTTTCTAAATATAATTAGACTTCTAATTTAATTTATTAACTAGATTTTTTAAATCTATTTTATATTATATTATAAAATTAAATAATATAAATTATATTATTTATTATATCTATCTCTTATTAAGATTCTAAGATATAAATATTATAAAATCTTTTAGACTCTTATAATCTAATAATATAAGGATATTTATAATATTTTTTAAATAATATCTTTATATTTTAAATACTTTTATAATAATAAGTAGTTTATTATTATAAGTTTTATAATATATCTTTAATTTACTAAGCTTTTTTAAATAAAATATAAGAGAGTATTATTAATTATCTTTTTTAAATTATAAGATAATTATTATTAGTATAGAATTTAATATATTTATTTTTATTAATAGTTTTTTATTTAATTAAAAATAGATTAAAAAAAGTATCTTTATAAAATAATTTTTTAGAATAGCAAATACTTCTTTTACTTTTTTTATAAAAATAAAGTCTTATATATTTTTATTTATATTTTTTTTATAAATATTTAGTCTTTTTATTAATATATTAAAAAGTCTATAGATCTTTAAAAAAAATATTATAAATCTTTTATAAAAGTTTATATATCTTAAAAATATTTAAATATTATAGATACTTTTAGGCTTTAGCTAATTTATAATAGTTATTATTTTTTTTTAATTTATTTATATATTTTTTAGTATAATAATAAAACTAAATAATTTTATTTTTATAATATAGAATATATATTTCGATCTTTTTATATAAAATTTATATTTATAAAGTTTTATAAAAAATCTTTTAAATATATTTTATATAATCTTTTATATTAAATAAAAATATTAAAATATTATTTAAATAAATAATTATAAAGATATTTATAAAATTTATAAGAGTTTTATTAATATATTATTAAAAAATTATTAATATATTAAAAAGTCTAAATAATATAATTTTATATTTAAAAAGCTTATATTTTATATAGAATATTATCTTCTATTTATTTTTTATTTTTATATATAAATAATAATATATATTTAAAAGATTAAATTAGTTATAGATTTTAACCTTTATAAATCGATTTAGTAACTTTTCTATTAATAATAATAAATATTAATTCTTAATAATAATCTTATTTAATTTTTTATAATTAATATATAATTTTAATCTTTTATCTTTTTTAGATATAAAAAGTATTAATATTTTTATAAGATTTTATAAAGATTAAATCTATCTTTTATTTATAGTTTTTTTAATATATTTCTTTAATATCTAAAGTTATTTTTTAAATAATAAATATATAGATTTTTATAAAGATTATATATTCTTTTTAAGATTAATTATATAATCTATTTTTAAATATAATACTAAGATCTTTATTTTTATAAGATCGAATATATTTATAAAGTCTATATATTTCTTTAGTAAGATTTCTTTTTATATTACTCTTAGTCTTATAGATCTTATTAAGCCTATCTATAAATATACTAAGATATATTTTATATCTTATAATAAGTCTTATATATAGTCTTTTATTATAATTCTTTTAAAATTATCTTTATTTTATATATTATAATACTACTATAAAACTTCTTTTTAATCTATCTATAGATTTTTATAAATTAACTAATCGAATCTTAGGATTAGATTATATTTTTATATATCTACTATTTCTACTATAAAATTATAACTTTTTTTTATACTTATATTATTAATTAAGTTAAATTTTATTTTTTATATTTTATAGGACTTAATCTTCTATTTATTAATAGTTTTAATTATTTATAATAAAAGTTATAAGTCTTCTAAATTTTATTTTATTTATTTTTAATTAATAAAAGATTATTTTATAATTTATAAAGATATATATAAAGATTTTCTTTATTTTAATATAGATTATAATCTTATTTATAAAAGCTTTTAAAGATTATAGATTTAGAGTAGTAACTTTTAATATAATTATTATTTAGAATATTAGGTTTTTTATTTTTTTATATTATCTTTTCTATTATTTTTTATATTATTATCTAACTTTTTATAAAAAAAGTAGTATTTATTTTTTTTTATAGCTATACTTTTAATAATATTTATATATAAATAAAAGCTTTTTATTTTTTTATACTTCTTTTTTAGTCTTTTATATATAGATTATAAGATTTTCTTTATATCTTATATTTTTATAAAAAGTTATTTATCTTTTTTATTTTATTTTTTTAAAGTAAATTAATTTAATTTTAAAGTCTTTTTTTATAAATTTAAGTCTAATTTAATAGTTTATAAATAATTTAAGAGATTAGTATATAAATACTTTAGATCTATCTTAATCTATTTATAATCTTTTATTTTAATATTATTAATTATACTTATATTTAGATATATTTTATATATATACTCTAATAGTAGGGTATATAGATTTTTTACTATTTAATTATTATATAATAAATATATTATAATCGATTAATTTAATCTTTATTAATAATATATTTATTATTTTTTTATTTTTTAATAAATAATCTAAAGATTATCTACTATATATTATAAGAACTAAATAAATTTTATATAGATTTTTAGTATCTTAAGTTTAGTAATATAGAATTCTTATATTATTATTATATCGCTATTAAAGATTTTAATCTCTTTACTTATTTTTATAGTATTATCTTTAAAATAATATAGATATTAGCTAAAATAGTTATTTAAATATATTTATTATATCTTATATTTTTAAAGTATTTTTTTAGAATATTTTATAATATTTATTAAATATAAAAGATATTTTATATTTAATATATAATATATTAAAAAGATTTTAAAGCTTATTTTATTATCTTCTTTTTTATTATTATTAAGATCTATATTTATTAATAATATTATTCTTATTAAAAGAATATTTAGCTTAGTCTTTATATTTAATTTTATTATATATTTTTTTATCTATATTTATATCTTTAGATACTTTTTAAATTCTATAAATTATTATATATAAGCTTTTATTATTTTTAAATCCTTAATTTTTTATTATTTTCGATAATTATAATAGAAATTAATTCTTCTACAAAAAGCTTAATTAGATTTATAAAATCTAACTATTTTTTTTTTATATTTATCTTTAGAGGTACTAAGATTTATATTAAAATTATCTTCTATAGTTACTTTTAGCGTCTCCTTACTTTACTTTATAATTATATAGGTTTAGTATATAGGTACTATATTTTACTAATAATAGTCTAATTAAAAATAAGATAGTTTAGAATATAAAGACCTACTATAAAGGATCTTATAAAGAGTATAATTAGAGTACTAAGGGTATATATAATACAAATTACTACTATAAAGTAATTATAACTAGTACTATATATATATTTAAACTAAACTATAAACCTTTATCTATAGTTCTAAATCTATTAGTTATACAATATACGTAGCCTAAGCGAGATTATATACATTAGACCTATATATCTCGTAGGCTATTGATATATCTACGTAGGTCCCGAAGACCTCCGAAGGTCTACCTTAAAGGTGCTATCTCGGGTCTAGGCGGGTTCTATACCTTACTTTGTATGGTATAGGACGTGATAGTTTTTTAATATATTAAATATAATTATTAATAATTAGTATCTAATAATATTTATTATAAGATCTAGCTAGATTTATAGTTTATATATTTATATAAAACTTTATATCTAGTTTTTTTATATAATATTATATATCCTAAAAAATCTATTTTTTAGTTTTATTAAATTAATAAGTTTTATAATTAAAATTATAAAGTTTAATTTAATCTCCTCTTTTTAAAAGAATAATATTAGAAAGAGAAGCTTTAATATATAGTTTTTTTATATAATTAAACTAATAATAAATTTTATAAATTAAAATAAATTTATTAATTTAATTAAACTTTTTATCTAAATCTAAATCTAAATTAGAAGAATTTAGTTTATAAAAATAAATTATTTAAATAAAAGATTATTATATCTTTTTTAGAATTACTCTTTAATAAAATAGACTATTAATCTAGAGTAAATTATTAAACTATTTTATTAATCTAAATTCTTTCCTATTCTTATAAATTAATTTCGAAATAATTAGATTATAATAAATATTATAATCTACTTTAAAAATATTAGATAAAAATAAATAATTAATAGTTATTATTAATGAGCAATCTATGATAGATTACTACTGAGAGGGAAAAAGTAGAAGAAAGATTCTTAATTGCTAAAACTAATTATGCAGGGATTTATATACCCTGCAAACCATCTGAACATAAACAACAAATAGCAAACAAAAGAAAGGCTCAGTCTGTAGCAAACAATCATGCATGCATGCCTGAGGGTTCAACACACCCCCCAGACTGAGTATCAAAAATAAATCATAAAAATCAATCTGGTTTGCATAGTAAAATCATGCATAAAATCAACAGTTTCCAAGTATCAAATTCCATCAATCTAACGTCATTTTCTTCTCAATTTTCTTCGTAACCAGTTGCTCTCTCAATCTTTCAAAATCAATTTTCGGTAAGGCCTTTGTCAATGCATCAGCTGGATTTGACTTTGAATCAATGACTCGAATATCAATCCATTTGGCCTTCCAGGCATGCTTCACAAAGTGGTATTTCACATCTAACCACTTAGTGCTTTTCTTGAATGCATCATTCTTCAAGATTGCAACTGCATTGTCGCTGTCAGTGCAGATCGGGACTTAAACTTTGTCTTTGACTTCAAGATTCAGCTGTTGAAGGATTTTGACCAGATACAATGCTTCCCGCACTGCACTATCCAAAGCAATATACTCTGCAACAGTGCTTCCGGTAGCAACAATGTCTTGCTTCCGAGAGCTCCATAAAACCGGTGCTCCGGCATAATAGAAAATGTAGGCCTCAGTTGATTTGCCGTCTTCGCAGTCGTTATACGAAGAATCAACGTAGCCAATTAAACTGTCATAATTAGTGTCCTTTGCAAGCTGAATTGCGAGGTTGATTCCATAATCAGGAGCACCCTTTAGGTAGCGAAGAAGCTGAGATAAAGCTTCCAAATCCTGCTTCCTCGGGTTAGCAGTTCTTCTTTGCAATCGATTCACAACAAAGGCTATGTCTGGCCTGGTTCTCATGGTCAACCAGCCAACCTTACCGACGTCCTCTCCATATACAGATTTTTCTTACATTGAAACTTCTTAATCTTCATCATTAGTTGTTGACAAAGATTGTTTAGTTGTTGAAAACGGTGGTTAGTAAGACGCCTTCATTAGTAAGTATATCGAACTAACCCTGCCTAAGCTTGCCGTTTGCAAGAGGTCTTCAAGGTAAGCAGCTTGATCCATCCAGATTCCTTAATCCGATCTAGTAAGACTGCAACCTAGAAACCTAGCAGGTTCCCCGATCACCTTGATCTTAAAAGTAATCGATCGCTTCAACCATTCAATATCTTCCTTCGACACCGCGGCACAGAGGGTGTCATCAACATATAGCAAAAGCCACATACTCTTCCCCTCATACCAAAAAATGCATCTTTCATCAGGTAATTGTTCGAATCCAAGACTTTCCAATTGCCGTTTGATCGTCTCATACCATAGGCAAGCGGACTGACATAAACCATACATTACCTAGTTGATCATACAAACTTTGCCCGGTGTCTCATACCCCGTAGGTAATCTCATAAAGACGCACCTCTCGTCAATCAGGGCATTAAGATAGGCAGTAGTATAGTCAATCTATTCCCAAAACAAATTCCGAATCATCACCATAGAGAGGAACAGCCTTATACTCTCTGGCCGTGCAACCGGTACATAGGTGTCGTCAAAATCGAAACCTGGTCTCTATCTGTTGCTATAGATAACCCATCGAGCTCTGAACTCGGTAATATAGTCTTCTTTATCACATTTGATATCAAAAACCCATTTGCCAGGTAGCACCGTGCTTCCCTTTAGTGGATCATCAATAGTTTGATAGGCCTTAGTACGATCAAGCTTTTCAATCTATAGATCCATCGCTTACTGCCATAGCTCGTTCTATGGTGAACTCAATGCTTCTGTTCGGTTACGCGGAATCTTGATTTGCCAGGTCTTTAAACCTTAGGGAATATCAATTGCCACCGTACCAATCATTGTCTCAATTAAATCAATTGCTAACAAAGCCTTGCCATATTTATCCCATTCTTCATCTTCGAAACGTCTTAGTAGGTTCAATTGACGTCCAAACCTAGTTCTTACCGGTTATAGCGGAGTCGGTATAGGCGCAGATAATAGGTCCGGTAATAATGATACCGGAGATGGTGCCGACGGTAATAGTATAGGCATCAAATTCCCAGAAATCAACTTTGCACTCGCCTTTGGCGTAGCAAAATACATAGTTTGATCATCATCATCCTCTTCTTCATCTATCTCAATCACCCGTTGTTAATCATCAAGCTTTGGTAGTTGATCAACCTATTAAATTTGTCGAGAACGTTGTGCCATAATGATAGGTAATCCAGTTCCTTACTTAGAATCCAAAGGGCCATCGATCACCTCCCCTTCAACGACAATATCCCGATCATCAAAGTGAGGAATTCCCTGTTTCTGTTCCCAGAAAACAACGTCTCTATACCTCGTCACCTTCCTAGTTTTAGGATTGTAAATTCGGTAGATATAACCATTATCTCCTTCATATCCAACAAGGTGGCCTATCCAGGCCCTTAGCTCCATCTTTTAGCTCTAGATTCTCCTCTCCTTCGGAATGTGAACATATGCCTTAGCATACCAGGTCCGTAGAAAAGAAAGAGTTATATTGTCGGGGGTTCACATATTCAATTGCTTCCTCCAAGCGATCACTAGTGCATCATATCCTTTCCTTCGAAGACGATTTATAATATAACAAGCCGTATTCAAAGCCTCGGTCCACAATTCTTTCGGCGAACCGGCATCAATTCCCATTGTCTTTGTGATTTAGAGAAGGTAATGGCCTATGAATTCGGAGACGCCATTCTGTTTATGGGCGTAAGAAGCAGAAATAGACATAATCATTATCTTGTTTCTTACCCAAGTAACAAAGGTAAAGAACTCCCTTCCCCCGTCAATACGCCATTCGAAAGTCTAAGTTGTTATCCTCCGGTAAATATCTTCTACAAATCGTTGTAAAACTAGTAATACTTCACCCTTTGTAGCAAGACATAAAGCGAAACGGTAACGTATTGCATCATCGGTGATCACCATTACATGTTGTCGATCATTTTTGCCATTTTCCGGGTTGTAGCCAGGCGGGTTCACCGGCTGCAAATCAACATAAAACATATAGGCAGCCTTTATAGCCCTTGCCTAATTAGCTCTTGATATAATCTATTTAGATTTACCAAGACCACATGCCTTACAGTCGAAAGGATCATTTTAATCCTAAATATCACAACCTAGATCTGCCTAGTTAAGCTTGGTTTTATAAGAACCGGCATAGCCCAAACGTCTATAGGCTAGTTCCGCGGAGATCACCGCAGCACCAAGAAAGGGCGAGGCTAATTGAATAAACGGTACCCTATAGAAATCCTTAGTAAAACCGATCACTCTATCTTTATCATCATATAGAGTTTTCAATTTACTATTCCACCAAATCCCCATCTCCTTCTCTACAGTGCCTAGAGAGAAGAGGTTATATTGACCTACTCTATAAACACAATAAATACTAATTTAATAGCATATCGGAGTCGTTTGAATAGCAGCCTATTATACCGTTTAAACGGAGATATCTTCGACATAAAAACTAAGTTGAACCAAACTATGATATTCAGCTTTGACCTTTTCATTACCGGAGGTCAACTATTTATATTCTTATCCTTTCGGATATTTCTCAGTTATTAGAAAGGCAGATTGATCACTACAGATATACTCTAAAACACCCGTGTCCAAAATCCATAGGTATCCAGGTATTACAGCCACAAATTGAATAGCTATCATTAATTGATCTAGTTGTTGAATTAGAAACCCCTCGACATCATCAATGTCATCTAGATCTCGGTCTACCGTATATTGATTGGCAAGCATATAAGAAGGATTGAAATCAGTTGGCAAACCGGCTATCGATGTCATAATAAAGCCAGCGCTCTTAGGTGCAGAAAGGTTTGCCTACTTAGTCCTATCTATCGGTAGCCCCTAGACCTATTAAGCTTTATCCTATTTAAATTCCGTAGGGTTTGTCGAATTGCCTCCACAATTATCATTCTTAAAGAACCAGATTCCAGGTCTTAGAACCCATCCTTCCGGACGTTTATCAGGATACAAATTCCAGCATAACAATATACCATAGCCCATTACCCCACAGTAAGAGCAATTACCGTTATTACTTCTCTCAGGTCTATATGCTCTCCATTTATTAACATGTTCCTGGGGAGACGTACCTTTCGGAGGTGAATTCGTCAAACGAGCATTCTAAGGATTCTAAGGCTTCGGAGGATTCGGAGGATTATTATTTTGCTAGCGTCGAGGTTGGTTGTCATTAACCGCAGACATAATGCCAAAGGAATCGGCGGAAGTAGACTTAATATAGTCCTGAATTGCCGTACTATATCGATAGAAATCAACCATAGTAATCTTAGTAACTAGATTTTCAATAGCGTTTAGTTCATTATCCTTCACAACTATAAAACTATTTAGCTCTAGCACCTCCATTAGCTCTATCAACATCGTTTGTAAAGCATAATAGGGCGGAATTCCAGACTTCAAATCAGTCAACGTCTTATACGTTGCCTTCATTAAAACAATGAATTCATCGCTTAACGAAAACTTCCTTCTAGAGATAGACCGGAAAGCTATCATAGCTACTTTTAAAGCACCATAACCTTCACCTTTTAGGTACTTCCGAATCTCCTCCATAAACTCATCTGCGAATATAATCGGATTTCCCCGACCATTGATTTCCTCCATCAAGTCGCTATCTAAACTACTAGACATCCAAGTACGAACTTACTTAGAAAGAGTCTTCCACTTCTAGCCATTCGGGTCTCTTCGGCTCGGCCAGGAGATCGATCGTTTGATCAAATTGTATAAATTATGGCTCTCTAAGATCTTCTCAACCTTATCGATCCATTTGTCAAGATCCTCTCTTTCTTTAAGAGGAGGAGTAATTTTGTAAAGATTGAATGTTCCAACATCTGGCAGACCGACAGCTTGGTCAATAACCAAGACGTCTTCTTCATCATGCCAGTTGTTGTTGTCAGGTGGGTGGGTTGCCATCTTGACAAAATAACCACAAAGTAAGGTATAGTATCTTCTACTACCCTTCAAAAACAAAGTTCCAAAGCAAGGCCCAGTACTATTGTAGCACTATCCTTGATGGATATTGATAAAATAATGATTCAGAGGTAGAAAAAGGGCTTCATAACCTAATGAGCAATCTATGATAGATTACTACTGAGAGGGAAAAAGTAGAAGAAAGATTCTTAATTGCTAAAACTAATTATGCAGGGATTTATATACCCTGCAAACCATCTGAACATAAACAACAAATAGCAAACAAAAGAAAGGCTCAGTCTGTAGCAAACAATCATGCATGCATGCCTGAGGGTTCAACAATTATATTATAATAGATATTAATAAGAATTATCTTAATCTTATCTTCTAAATTCTTAATTTAAATTAGTATTTTATTATAACTAATTACTAATTAGATCTTATTATTAATATTTATATAATTATATAGCTTTTTATCCGACTTATAAATTAAATATTTATAGAAATTCTTATAATATCTAGTAATTATTTTAAAAGTATTATTATTAATTATCTAGTTATATTTTAAAGAATAAGCTATATTAATATAAATAATATTAATCTTATTTTTTTTTTATATATATAATTATATAGTATTAAATATTATTATATAGCTTCTATCTCTCTATAAATAAATCTTTTATTAGATAAAAATATATCTTAATAAGATATCTAATATATTTATAATAAATATACTTAGAATTATTTATATATTATAATTATTAATTATACTATTATTCCGCTTATTTATTAATTAACTTATCTTTAAATAGTATATTCTTTATATCTTATTATTATTCCTTTTAATTATTTTAATTATTTTTATTATTATTATCTAATCTAAAATTATATAAATTATCTTTATAATCTTTATTATTATAGTTTTAATCTTTTATTTTATCTTTATATTAATTATTATTATTCTAAATAATATTAGTAGAAGTTTTTAGATTAAATAATAATAAAATAAGGATATTATATATTTTAATTATTAATATTTTATATATATTACTAAAATTCTTTTTTATAATAAAATCTAGTATCTTATCTTTTAAAATCTTATAAATAAATATAACTAATTTAAGTTTATTTTTTAATTATCGAAGTATTATAAATAATACTCTAAATAAATAAGATTTAATTTTATATATATTAAGTTAATTATATTAGATCTAATAAATATTAATATAATCTTTTATAAAACTAAAATATAATCTCTTTATTTTATTAAATTTAATTATTTTATATCTTATATTATTAATAATATTAATATTATAAATAATAGACTTAATTTTATATAATATATAATTAGTATAAATTAGGAAACTATTTATATATTCTTTAAAAGTTATAATAATCTTTTAATCTAAAAGATCTTTAATCTATCTACTAAAAATCTTTAATTAATATCTTTATAAATTATAATTAAGATTAAATTTAATAAAATAAGAAAGATTATAATTAATAACTTAATTAATTTATATTATATTTAATCTATTAATAATCTATTATTTCTATTTTATTAGATTATTATTATTAAAAGCTAATTTAATATCTTTATTAAACTTAATCTCTTTTATTTTAGGAAGATTAGTCCTTTATATATATATCCGTCTAATAGGACTATATTATTACTATTACTAACTATTAGAAATAGGATTTTATTACTAGTAAAAAGTAGAGAGAGAATATAAAGAACCTTCTTCTTTATTATTATTATTATTATAGGAACTAGTTATTTTAATTATATATTAAGTATCTATCTTCGGTCTTAATTAAAAGAAATAATATACGTACCGGTACTATCCGTCACGTTAATAAAATAACTATAGAAAATAAAGCTTCCTAAATAATTAGAATAATAAAAATATTAACTTATAATAAGATTATCGATAAAAATTAATATTAATAATAGGATCGATACAGTATAACCTGGTTATAACGATACCGGATATACCGATAACCCGGTTATAACGATCGGAATCCGGTGCTTGAATTAATCCGCTATACAAAAATCGTTAAAACCTGCTTTGTGCGATTATCGTAAATTCACCCTCTCTCCTACGCAAAAAATCGTTATATCTAGGGATTTATACGTCATTTTCAAGCATTCCTGACTAATAAAAATGCCTCGCCGATCTATCCCAATCTCCTAAAAGATCGCTCTTCGAGAGTACTACCGAAAGAACCCCTTACTTACGTATAAGGGGTTAGCCAATTAGTTCAACGAGACTTATAATCATCCTATTTCTCAATCTACAACTTCCGAAATCCTCTCCTCCCGATACCTTTACCTTAACGCGGAGCTCTCGAAGCACTAGGTTAATGCAAAGCGCGCTCGGATAGCGTAGTGGCTAGACCTTAAAAAGGCCCTTATCTATTAGATAAAACTCGCTAAATATTATATTCCTATAACCTAAGAGGTTATACGTGAGAAAGCGCGCTTTTTCTAGTACTAGCTACCTATTTATATAGGCGTTGAAATGCCTCTATTTAGTAATGGCTAGCTTGCTGGATTTTAGCACCGTAAATCAATACGCAATCGTTTATATTATGGTAAAGATAGAAGCACCCTATAGCTTGCTTCTGAAGCTATGATTCTAATTCGTCAAACTCTTTAATTGTATAGCCCTCGGGATATATTTAATTGTGACGAAACTGGCCTTTTTTGGAAGCGTACCCCTGACCGAGGCCTTTCAACCCGATCTTTACCTGGAAGAAAGAAGGAGAAGGCTAGAATTACAGCCTTGTTTTGTTGTAATGCAGATGGTTCTGAGAAGTTAAAACCATGGTTTATTGGTATGTATGCCTGCTTCCTATGCCTGCTATGCCTGCTTCCTATGCCTGCTATGCCTGCTTCCTATGCCTGCTATGCCTGCTATGCCTGCTATGCCTGCCTATGCCTGCTATGCCTGCCTATGCCTGCTATGCCTGCTATGCCTGCTATGCCTGCCTATGCCTGCTATGCCTGCTATGCCTGCTATGCCTGCTATGCCTGCTATGCCTGCTATGCCTGCTATGCCTGCTATGCCTGCTATGCCTGCTATGCTTCCTATGCCTGCTATGCTTCCTATGCCTGCTATGCCTGCTATGCCTGCTATGCCTGCTATGCCTGCTATGCCTGCTATGCCTGCTATGCCTGCTATGCCTGCTATGCCTGCTATGCTTCCTATGCCTGCTATGCCTGCTATGCTATTACTTCCTATGCTAATAACTACTATATAGGCACAGCTAAGAAGCCCCGCGCTTTTACCACTTCCCGCGTTAATATTAATAATCTTAATATATACTGGAAGTGGAATAGCAAGGCCTGGATGACTGGCGAGATCTTTGAAGAATGGCTTCGGTGGTTTGATGCTATAATGATTCATAGGAAGGTAGTACTTCTTATAGATAATTTCTCAGCACACGAATCTATAGTGAAAGCTATTAATAATAGCACTTCACCACTTCGAAATACCCTAGTTATATGGCTTCCACCAAATTCAACCTCCCGTTTTCAACCACTTGATTAGGGTATTATTAATATATAGAAAGTATATTAGAAGCGCTAATGGGTTAAATTTATATTTAATGAGTTTGATAGTGGTCGAGATCCTATGATTTTAATGAATATACTAAGAGCTATTCAATAGGGTATTTAAGCTTAGGATCTTGATATATCAGCTCTTACAATTAGGAACTACTTCTAAAAAGGGCTCTTAATATCGGGTACTACTACTACTACTACTAGTAGTAGTAGTAGTATTTAATCGCTAGTTAATGAGATATCTTCTAATATACTTATTATACGGCCTTAGGTACCAAATCCAATGGATATTGAGAACTTTCTTAACCTAGTTGATGAGCTTGTTCAAGATAGTATTGATACTATTGATGATATTGTACTAAGCGAGTTCTCTAGAGAGGTTGATATTGATGATGATATAATGGTTGAAGAGCCCCAGATTCAACACTATGAAGCTATTCAAGCTTTAAAAACCCTTCGGTTATATGAAGAGCAGCAGGAACAGGGTGAAACCAAGTTAATTACTGCTCTACATAGACATGAGAGGTTAATTGAAGCAAGGAAAATAGGAGGGCAGAAGCAGAGCGATATTAGGAGCTTTTTTAGGGCCTAAATTTGTATGTAAACCAGAAATATATATTTAATATATGGCACCTTGATTTAACGAATACATACCTGGATATAACGATAATTTTCCCGTGTCTGAATTATATCGTTATAACCAGGTTATACTGTAGTAGATCGAATTCGGAAGATCTTTTAAGGAAATGTGCTTTGGAAGATCACTTTGGAAAATGTCATCTTGTTTGTGTTTGCTCAAAGTCGGAATGCTAAGTGATGATGTGTTTTGAGGAAGCAAGAGTTGGATTGTAGCAAACTGAACAATCATGCTCCCGTGACGAAAGAATCTCGAATGGACCCAGTGATGTAGGCAAATTACATCAAAAGCATTTATATTAGAGTGTTTTTGTTTTTCGTTCGTCGGGGGATTCTGCGCTTGGCTGGGAATATACTTGCGAGAAAAAAAATTTAAAGTAAGCATACTTTGTTTAGGAACAGAAAGGATATAGTTTATTCGTCGTATCTGTTGACGGGTATTCTCATTGACACGGCGATGGGCGGATAGCTCCAAGTATTGACAAAGGCCTCGCCAGTATTCATTATACGACTGAAGCAATTTCTTTCGTGATGTTTTGAATATCCAATCAAAAAAGTTTATGTAAATCGCCTGATCCTCTAAGAGAAGAAAGTCAATATAATCCTCGTTCGATTGTATGCAATATCTATTCTTGTGTTATTCTCAATCAGAAGACCTTTCTGGATTAAGTGAGCACTCGTTCGAGAACTATTATGAATCAAGGTATGTAGGGCCTGGAAAATATGGCAGAAATAGGCTTAGCACGGGGCTTGCACAGGACATCGCTAACCTGGGTGAAATTAATTTTTTTGCTCTAGACTTGGGGGTTGCCTGGGTATAAGGGAAAATGCGCTGATTTGGAATGGAGACTGCTGTCTACCCAATGATATTCAATAAACACTTCAGTTGTTTGAAAGGAAAAGAATTATTTCTAAGACAACCGATTGTTTAATCAACAGCCGCAAGTTTGCTTGCCGTTGGCCCTCATTTCTCACCACTATGGGCCTCGTTCTTATTCGATTGAGCAACTTGTCCGAATAACATTGTCGCACATTGCAACATTGTTTGCGCAACCGTTCAGGTTTCTTTAAACCCTGTCCAGCAGCCTTAGAATTTACGTCTAATTTTCTGCTCGGGATCCAAGTCCGGGTCAAGCATTGTACGCTTTAAACAGGATATGAACGAATTGATTTTTTTTATTTTATTTTCTCTGAAAACTTTCTTTCTGTACTCGCATTTCCAAGCAACTCATAATTCAGTGACCGGCTGCAAGTTTGCCTGCTGGTTAAGAGGGCGTGCAAAGTGGTGGTTGAAGTACAGCAGTAAACTGAGAGCCCCTTCCCCACCTAAAGCGCAGGTCCGTACATTTCATAATCCATTCGCATCCCCAGCTCACTGACCAAAAATCATTTCAACCTGCTTGCCAGCACCTCCGCTCTATTCCGAGACTTCAGGCGAGAACGGAGAACTTAAACTTGTTTCTCCTAAGTTGTACGGAGTACTAGTACTAGTACTGTAAATCTTCGCTCTACACTCCAACTATCCCAGCTCACAGTAGAATCGGACTTGCTCCAACGAGGCGACCATATTCCGGGCTACACGTAGCTGCACATGGGTGCAAATATGCGCGCAATCACTCGCGTACATTGAGCCTATATGGTCAAGAACACGTTGCATTCTAGCCCTGCTTTCGCATGCATAAACTAGCATCACTTCTATTACGCTTACAATAATGGGGCTCATGAACCTCCCCTCGTACATTTGTAGAGCATCTATTCACATGTAGTGCTTGATCGCAATCTCTATATGCAATCCAAACATCTATGAAATGGCTATATTAGCTCTTTGCGGCTCTTTTAGAAACTCATAAACACGTCAGGCTCTCTTGTCGGACCAAAAATTCGTTTATGTATTGACAAACCTGTGAATATTCATAGCCCAACAAAGTCTTTTCATCATGTCTTCTTCTAGCATTCAAAGCCATTCAAGCGCAAGCCAGTATGTCGCACCTTCGACCTTTAACAGCGATAGTCTTCAGAGCTTTCTTAAGCAAGTCAGTGCACTGGCTTCAAGCCCTGAGTCCCAAGCTGCGTCGGTTATGATTGAAGAATTCGGCCATCAGCGTGAACAAGTTTTTGCCAGAAATGAGGAGTTGAAGAAAGCCCAAAATGAGATCCTCGATCTGAAGGAGAGAAATATTTCTTAGTAAATTGACATTTAGACGATAAATAGCCTTGTTGTATGGTTTCGCTGGGCTGTGCTGAGGCCAACTATGGGAGGCACTCTTTATACGTCAGGATGCCATGAATATGGGGGCTTCAATATGGCATTTGTGTGCCAATATCTCCCTAAAAAAAAGAAAAAAGGATAATACACGTTTGAAAGTTGATGGGTAAATGCTCTTTCTATAATACAGTGAACACCAGATACAAATCCTCATATCGCTACAGAAACCCAGAAGTTATTGGAACAAGACATCATGCACGCGGCAAATGCCCTCATTTCTTGGCCGTCTTCTTCTTGCCCTTCAAACTCTTCAGCTGAGCAGCCCGCTCGGCTCTCTGCTGACGCTTCCTCCACGCCAACCAACGGTTACCACGATCGTGCGGCATAGCAACGATACCAGCCTTCTCAGCAGAGCGACCAATCTCCCAATTAGCCTCGCGGTACATGTAACCGGGGCGTAGCTGGGGGCCAGACTCAGCTTCGACAGCCTCGACATCCGTCACACGGACACCGCTCTCATCAACAGAAGCAACGAGATCAGACTGAGCCTCGACGCTTTCCGCCAACGGCACAGGAGCCATATTCAGCTTACGCCGGCTGGGCGCATTGCGCGGGTGCGGGAGGTTCTCATCCTTGTCGAAAACAACTCCGATATACCGGCGCTTCGAGTGCTTCTGCGGGTCGAGGTAGTAGCGCACGTAGCCGGACTGTGTTGCGTAGATTGTGTGGTCCCGTCCCATTCCACAGTTCTCACCGGGGAACCATAGTGAGCCTCGCTGCCGGAAAATGATGCATCCCGTTACGACGTACTCGCCGCCCGAACGCTTCGCTCCGAGACGCTTACCGGCCGGATCACGTGAGTGCTGATTGGCCGTTCCTTGCGAGGCGTGCGAGGCGTGACGCACTTGTGTGAAGGGGAGGAGTGCGCGGGAGAGGGAGGGTGTTGGTGTGGTTTTCGGGAATGTGGATGTTGCGGAGAGGGTGCGCAGGAGGGATTGCGATTGGGAGAGCGCAGGTGTCGACTGGATTTTCGGGGTGAATGCTCGCTCCAGTGCCCGCAGGGGCGTTAGCACTCGCGGCTTGAACATGGTGGGTTGTAAATTGGATTGTTTGGAGGTGTAGATCGTTAAGCTCCCAAGGGGAAGTTTTTCGTTCGGAGATCAGGCTTGGCGTCACGTGTGTACCCGTAAGCTGGCTTCATTTAACTATACACACACCACTTAAACTCGTTTTACTTTCTGTACAAATACTCCATTCTACAATTACTTTCGGTGTGATTATTCAAACTATGTTGCAGAGTTGGCGTCAAGCCCTCTGGGCTCTTCTCCTTCTCGTGTCTGTTGCCCAGGCCCAATTCAACTTCTTCGACCAGATGTTCGGAGGCGGCGAGCAGCAACAGCGCCAACAGCAGCGGTCGCAGAACGCTCCCAGTGACAGTGATCGGTACCAGCAGATGTGGAGTGGAGGTAAGACTCGAAATATTCGATTATTGAAAACATGCTGTCGCAAGTTCGTATTGCTCTCGTGACCACATAACTGACTACTGTGGTCTCTGTTTACAGCACAATGCGACCACTACCTCTGCCCCGGAACTCTTGCTTGCGTACACTTCCCACACCATTGCCCGTGCCCTCACCCAGATGTCGAGGAGAAGGTTGAACTTGGAGAAGGAAGTGCTGTTTGTGTGTCGAAAGGAGGGTTCAAGGCAGGCGAAGCTGCGCGGAAAATCGAATTAGCTCGCAAGGGTGTCTTGTGAGAACTGGGTGTATGATCTTGGTTTTGTTATATGAAGGATGCAGCTGCCGATCGGTCGTGGGGTCGAGCCATGAAGCTTGGTGCCGCTGGACGAATTGATCGATAGGATTACTATCAATCGTTTTTTTGGACATACCAGGTGTGCTGCAAAATTGGAGAGCTTACTTGGTATATTGAAACAGACTGCCTATGTGTTCAGACAGAAACTGGAAATTCTACCTAAGACATGCCAACGTAGTCTACTATGTAAATGCATACAGAGTAACTTAAGGTTTAATTTTCCACGCCTGGAAAAGCACTCGTCGGTAATCCTTGATAATTATGATAATTAATGGAAAATCCAGTGACGAATTAATCTAAAACTTACCTTAATATCTTGAAAATAGCACGCCATGATTGAAGTAAGAGTATAAGAAGAGTAGTATAACTAAGAGTAAACGATCTACAAAAGCAATTGCCGTTGCTTTATCTCCGATTATCTCCGCATTGACCTTCCGTCATCGGTTTCCCAGAGTGTGCGCATTACTTACCAACTTCGCATTACTTCCAACGTTCAACCTTTTGTCTTAATCCTCGTATCTTGACTAATCTGGTCCATTTCAACTACCATGTGGGGTTTAAGGCTCCGGTCCCTGCAAAGACAGTGGACACCAGTTCGAACTCGAACTCGAGCTCTGTCAAGCTTCAAAAGTCATGCATCTCCACGCGGTCCTCGCAATAGCATAAAAGGACCAAATCCCATCCAGACTGCGAGAAAAGCCAAACCCTTGCAACAGCCTGAGCCTGCTGCCCCTGAGTCCCAGGATGCCACAGGTCCCAATTATGACCCTTCGCAGAACACTCTACTTTCTCCTGTTCACATGCCTGAAGATCCTAGAGGTGTGCTCAAAGAAAACCACCCGGCAACTTCAATACTGGCAAACTCGGGAATAGTCGTACAACGAGAACTAGAGATGATGAATGTTCTGATGTGAGTGCTGCGCAAGTGCCTATTTGAGGGGAAAAAACATGTATACTGACTCCCTCAGTGGGTTTGAACAAGCTAATAAGTATATCATCATGGATGCGCAAGGAAATCACGTTGGATATATGGCGGAACAGGATAAGGGATTGGCAAGTACAATGGCACGGCAGTGGTTCCATACCCACCGAAGTTTCGTGACACATGTATTTGACCGACACGAAAATGAAGTCCTTCGAGTAAGCTTATAGAATGGCCGTCTTTTGATGTGTTTTTCGTTTGGCTGACAACCGCAGTTCAACCGCCCGTTCTCTTGGATCAACTCTCGAATTCATGTATATGACCCTCTCGATCAAACCCCGAATGCTCACTCGGCATCCACCTCTCTTCAAAGCACAACACCAGGTTCTCTCGTTGAACTTGGTGCCAGCTCCAGTGCAAGGATATCTCCGCTTGGACTCGGTCAAATGCGAGTTATCGGCGAAGCCCAGCAGCAGTGGGCACCTTTGCGGCGAAAGTACAATCTCTTCACCCATCACCAATCGCCAAACCCGGAAACAGACATGGGAACCCATGATATCGCATTATCTGACTCTGGTTTATCACGAGCACAGCAGATGCAACTAGTACAAACATCCAACCAAGACCAGGGTCAATTCAACCAATTTGCCTACGTTGATGAGCCCTTTCTATCATGGGATTTCTCCCTGAAATCAGCAGATAATCAGTTAATTGGATCCGTCAATCGAAACTTCGCAGGATTCGCTCGCGAAATCTTCACAGATACCGGTGTTTACGCAATGCGAATGGATTCCGCGGCTCTCGGCACGGAAACACCACACAGCAACAAAGCCTTAGGCATGACCCTCGACCAACGTGCTGTTATGTTGGCTACAGCTGTAAGCATTGATTTCGATTACTTCAGCCGTCAGCATGGCCATGGTGTGTTTGGATTTCCGGCGTATGGGGTCCCTATGGGCGGCCAGACTCCTGCTGGCGGTGCCGCTGCAGAAGGCGCTGCCGCCGGTGAGGCCGGGGCTGTTGGTGGAGCTGCCTCTGGGGCTCTTGAGCGAGTTGGAACTGCCGGTGGTATGCCAAATGGTATGGTTGGAGGCGCTACCACCGCCGGTGCAATGGCTGGGTATGAAGCAATGCAGAGGGGCAACACAGGGGATCCAAATGTCTCGGCATCGGAGCCGGCGGATATGGGCTCACAGGGGTTCCAGGATAAACCTCAAGACCCTTGGGAAGATGGCTCTTGGGGTGACGAAGGGGGTGACACCGGTGATGGGGGGGATGGGGGTGATTATTTCGACTGGTGATGAGGGCCAGTTTCTGTACTGTACTATTATATTCACGAATTAGATATAGTATTAACTTTTAAAACTAAAAATATCTCCGTTCACTTCGCTATCTTTCAATCGCTGTTTACCATCTCTGCCCACGACATCGCCATGCTTTGTCCACCGCCCCGGAATTATTCCATCCCCACCCTTCATCCCACCCAAGTCCCCGCAGACAACCTCGCCACTTAAGTATTTTCCAAATCGCATTTCGCATTCGAATCAATTAAACAGTGAAAATGGCGTCATCCGTCGCTCAGAAGCGCCTTTTCCACGAATACAAGAACCTCTCTACCAACCCACCAGAGGGTATCACCGCAGGCCCCGTCTCCGAAGATGATATGTTCTATTGGGAAGCCCTGATCCAGGGTCCAGAGGAAACCCCGTTTGAGGGCGGCGTCTTCGCAGCGGAGCTGAAGTTCCCAAGAGATTACCCCCTGAGCCCGCCGACAATGAAGTTCATTGGAGGTGGCGTGTGGCACCCGAACGGTACGTGACCGAGACAACTCAGGAGTCACTTGCGAATGGCTACTTGCTTGCGTTGCAATATAAACAATGGCGGGCATCTTATTGATGAATTTGAATTACAGTCTACCCCAATGGAACCGTATGCATCTCCATCCTTCATCCCCCCGGCGACGACCCAAACCACTACGAACACGCCTCGGAACGCTGGTCGCCCATTCAGAGCGTGGAGAAGATCCTCATCTCGGTTATGAGTATGCTTGCTGAGCCAAATGACGAGAGTCCTGCCAATGTTGAGGCTGCTAAGATGTGGCGCGAGCGGAGAGCCGAGTACGAGCAGAAGGTTCGGGATGAGGTGAAGAAGGGTCTGGGTCTGTGAGGTAGGCTGGGTTGTGGATGAATGCCTCGGTTTCTCTCGCTGCTGCGCAGGTGGATGTCTGTCAAAATGGTCTGCTT